GNCCCTTGCTTTTCTACCCATTATTGGGCAAAATTAAAGTAAACGCTCCTGAGTTTCGAACTTGGGCCAAAAGGCCAATAAGCAAGGCTTCAACCGCTCTGTCACCATCATTATATGATATGAATCTAACACACATTTATTTAAAACTGTAGAACACAAGAAAACTTAATCAAACAAAAAATAAAAAAATAAAACAAGCACAAAATAAAGTAATAATAGAAAATATAATTAAAATAAAATATAATAAAAATTGAATATGAAAATTAAATAATCAATATAATACTATTTAATATAAAAATAAAATGATAATTTCATTTAAATAAATTAAAAAATATAAATATAAAATAAATTTGAAATATATGTTTTTATAAATTGAAGTAATATAATGTATAAAAATACAATTAAACTAAATTAATTAATTTAAATTAAATTTATTTATAATAAAATAAAATGATAATTCTATATAATATATTATTAAGTAGTAATTTGTAAATAAAATACTTTGTATTCAATAAATATATATGATATGTATACATTTCTCTTATTTAGTTTTTATATATATTTCTTTTATTTAGTTTTTATAATATTTTATCTTTTTTTAAATGTTCGATAAATATATAAATTTTAATTTTTTTCAATTAAATTATTATTTTTAAATTTGTAATAAATAATTTAAGTACTTATTATTTATTCAGTTTTCTTATTTTAAATTTTTTTAAATGTATAATAAATAAAAAATAAAATTTAGAATTAAGAAGAAAAGTAATTAAAATATCAGGTATCTTTTGTTATGAGCTTTATATAATATAAATAAGTTTTGATTATTTTAATTATTTTTAAATATGAATAAATATAATTTTTTATAAAAATTTAACCTTATCCATAATTTTGAACCTCTTTATTCAGTTATTGTATTATTTATAATTCTGAATATATTTACATAATTATTATATCATTTATATTGTAGAATAGAATTTATTCAATTAATATAAATATTTATAAATTAGAATATAATTACTTAAATATACATAATTTAATGATAATTTTAAATTATAATTAATATAATAATTCAATATTTATATTTTATAATAATTGAGTAAAGAGATTCTAGTATATTATTTGTAATTAATAATCTATTTATTCAATTAATATAATATATATACATATTTTGAATTATTATATTACTTATAATTTATATCTATCATTATATTATTTATATTTTATAATATTTTTGCTTAGTTATTTTATTATTTATAATTTAGAATTTGTTTATTAAATTACTACAAAATCTATTTAATTAATTATTATATTATTTTAAAATTTATAATCCATTTTATTAATTATTATATCATTTATAATTTAGAATATTTGTAATTTAAAATAAATTTATTTAATTATTATATATTAGTATTTTAGAATATATTTACTCAATTATTATATTATTTATAATTTAGAATATATTAATTTAATTATTAAGTATTAGTAATTTATAATCAAATTACTTAATTATTATATTATTTATAAGTTAGAAAATATATACTTAATTATTACATTATTTATAATTAATTATATATATACTTAATCAATATATTATTAATAACTTAGAATCTATATATTTAATTAATACATTACTTATAATTAATTTTTATTATATTTTTATTCTATACGTTAAGATATATATAAATAGAATCACATGTGTAACTAAATGTCTAGTAGCCCAGTTGGTGGGAGATGCCCTTTTTAACCCAAAGATATAATCGTAAATTCATTGATAAAGCAAGGATATAATGGTAAATTAAACAAAAAAGTAACTCCGTCAGTATTAAAGTAATGGTGTTAACATAAATGGCGAGTCTGCATGTAAACATTAAATACAAGGGAGTTTGACGCAATATTTGAAATACCAGGGTAAAATGCGCAGATTTCATATAATACAGGGGGATTTGGTGCAATAAACTCATTCTGAAAGTGTGTTGGCAAAACGACTAAGATATCCATCTTCATTGTGTCTGTCGTCGTCGTCTCTGAAACTGTTATGGGGATGAGACTTCTCCATCACCGAATCCATCGGCATGAAGTAGGTCGACGGCTGTTTCCAAATATTTAGGTATGAATTATAAAAATCACAATATGCAATGGATATCAACTAAGCACACATTATTATGAACTAAATATGCAGTTCTGAAACAAGCCGACGACGCCGTCAGGCAATGCTATGGACAGTCTACAATTCACTTTTGAACAAGAAATAACTTGATCTCAATTCACAAATCAATAACTAAAGTTGAATCTCACATTCTGGTCACAATATGACTTATTTTATTCATATATATATATATGTATGTATGTATATATAAGTAATCAGGGTCGGAGCCACCCCAAAAGGCTGGGTGGGCTCCAGCCCAGGGTAAAAAAAAAAAAAAATTAGTAGCCCAATATAATGAATTTAGCCCAGTTAGCCCGACCCAAAATTTTGAACTAGCCCACAAATTTTAAGTAGCCCAAGAGATGAAGAGACATCTCCGTTCTTCCCAATTCTCACGTTCTCAAAATTCTAAAAATCGAAGAGAAGGAGAAACCGAGAAAGCAATTTTTTTTTCTTCACGATTTCACCTGAGATTTCTCGTCGGTCGTCGCCCTTCGTGCTCGTCGGAGTCTGTCCCAAACAGAGGGTCGACTGGAGAGATGAAGCCCTTTTTTCCCTCAATTTCAGCCGCAACCTCCGACTCGCGAGAAGCCCTACTCCGCCCGAGAAACTTCATCTCTGTTTCTTTGGTTCTACTTTTTTTCTTTTTTTTTTAAATGCTTTTATTATTATTAATTAGGGCTTTATGGAGTAAAATTTGTTTAATTTTTGTTTTATGGATTTTGATGAAAAAGTGGCGTGGAGTCTGTCAAGAAGAAGAAATTTGTTTTTTCAGCAAATTTAAATTTAAGGCACAAAATGCCCTATGGATATGCCCAGCAACATTGAAAATGACTATGGTTTAGCTCGTCCTTTAATTGGGTTGAGCCCAAATATTTGTCAACACAACATGCTTGTAATTGGGTTGAGCCTAAATATTTGTCAAACTAGAAAAAAAATATATGTGAAACAATTGGCATATACTCCATCCTCCAAATTAATACAACTTTTGTAATCATGTGTACTAATAAATAAAATGGATAATATATATTCTTCAAAAAAATCAACAACAATGAGCTATCATCCCACTTGACCTTTTGTCATTTCCGAATTGAAAATGTAAAAAATAATAGTGTATTTGTAAAGTCTACATTTGAAATATTTTATTGATATTATTTGTTGGTTGATGCTTTTAGGTTGATTTTTCAAATGGATGCCCCATAGGAAAGAAGATACGGAAAAGACAAGACATTATCATTTAATTGACAGATAGATTCGCCTCATTTTGACGCTTCATGTTTCTACTGTAACAACCGAACAAACATTTTTAGCTATGAAACTTCTCAAAAATCCTCTTCGAAATAAAATGGAAGAACAGTTCTTAGTGGATTCTATGATTGTCTACATCGATAGAGAGTTTACTT